ACAAGGAAATCGGATATGTTCCATGGTTGCAGCAATGCCGCCGATAACTTTGCAAGTAAAGTATTTAGATATTACTTTTTTCATTTCTGCTCTTTTTCCTTTCTTTCTTTTTTTTCCATCTAATGAAGAGGCTTTCTAGTTTCTCTTAACTTGATAATTTCTCAACCCATATGTTTTGAAATTTAATATACAGACTGAGATTCAATTAAAACTTGATAATTCTTCTCAATCTGGAATATGCATAGCAGCATTGATTGAAGTCTTGTTTTGTTCATTTCATGAGTCATGACATCGTAATTGAATGGATTCTATGATCTGTGATGAATTTATAGGAGAATTTAATTTTGATTATTAGGCTCTTAACTTATCTGAGGCTTTTGATTTACAAAACCAATGCCTTCAATGTTGCAGCTGCTGATGTGAAAACACATTCGAATCGCTACTTGTTGATTGCTACTAGTGGAGGCTTAAACCAACAAAGAACAGGGGTTAGTTTTTTAATTGAGCTGGAGCTGCATAGTAATCCAATCAAATCCCATCTTAGTTTTCTTCCATTTAAGGCTAACTTATCGTTCTATTTTGTTCATGTAAAGGCTTAAAAGAAATTTAGTTTAAAGAACATTGTGGTTTGCTTTGCTTCTTTCTTAGTCTAATTTTGGATTGTTATAAGTAGCTCTTGTATAGGACTAGTTGATTGTACTTTGTAACTTTTTCATTCCATGAGTGATAAGACTGGTTTGTAATCTTGCATGTTTTTGCTGCTGAATCAGCATCTGATGCTTCCTTTCCTGATTCTGTTACAGATAACTGATGCTGTTGTTGCAGCTTATATCTTGAATGCTACTCTTGTTGTTCCCAAGCTGGACCAGAAATCATTTTGGAAGGATTCCAGGTCAGTTTCACCATATCGCAGATAAAAAACTACTGTCAAGGTCAATGTAAGCAAAACAGTCAGTGGATTAATATTGTTATTTGGGTATTTGGTGCAGCAATTTTGATGAAATCTTTGATGTAGACTGGTTTATATCATCTCTATCAAAAGATGTTGAAATCATTAAACAGCTTCCAACAAAGGGAGGAAAACCAATGAGTCCATATACCATGCGTGTCCCAAGGAAGTGCAATGCAAAATGCTACCAGAATTGTTTAGTGCCTGTTCTTAATAAAAAGCATGTAAGTGTCTTTCAGGAGAACCTACCACATTTTTGTAAAGAATTCGTTAATCATCATATGCTGGTGCATATAACCGAGGAAGAAAAACTTCTGGTGCTTGAATGAGTGCCTTTTCAGGTTATATAGAATTTACAGTTGTTTGTTATGCTTTCTAATGTGCAGGCTGTTCAGCTCACAAAGTTTGATTACAGACTTTCAAATAAGTTGGATTCAAATTTACAAAAGCTTAGGTGTAGAGCAAATTATCATGCCTTGAAGTTTACTGACCTTATTAATGAAATGGGGAAAACGTTGGTTGACAGAATGAGGATGAAAAGCAAGCATTTCATTGCCCTGCATTTGAGGTAAAGTGCAAAATAGCTGCTTGAGTATTTTTTTCCTATGGTACATACTAATGTACTGTGAGCAAGTTATGCCTTCGACAGAATATGTGCTTGTGCAGATAGTTTCTTTGCAGTGTTAATGTGTGTTTTGTCTTGAAAAATGATTGAATTTTGTTTTCTTTAGCATGCTATATGTACGGGTGGGTTGTACAGCACAAAAACCTCTATTTAGGTTGTTTTGATAGGTGGAATATGTTTTTTTGCTAGAGTTTTCCAAATTCTTTTGGACTGCATAGGAAAAAGTTTCTGATATTGGTAGACCATGTTATAGGTTCGAGCCTGATATGCTGGCATTTTCTGGATGTGATTTTGGTGGAGGAGAAAAAGAAAGGAAAGAACTTGGGAAAATTCGGAAAAGGTGGAAAACTTTACATGTAAGGCTTCACTGATGTCTTGAATGATGTCATTCAATAGTGACCTGTTTTATATAATTTGTATCTCTGCATTATAACTACATTTGATATTTGGGGTTATATTGCATGCAGGCAAGCAACCCTGACAAGGTAAGAAGACATGGCAGATGCCCGCTAACTCCAGAGGAAGTTGGCCTTATGCTTAGAGCACTGGGTTTTGGAAGTGATATTCACTTGTATGTGGCATCGGGTGAAGTATACGGAGGTGAAGAGACGTTGGCACCACTGAAGAAACTTTTCCCGAACTACCACTCAAAAGAGACTATAGCAAGTAAAGAGGAGTTGACACCATTTTCATCCTTCTCTTCTCGAATGGCTGCACTTGATTTTATTGTTTGCGATGAAAGTGATGTTTTCATCACCAACAACAATGGCAATATGGCTAGAATGTTAGCTGGTCGAAGGTATTAAAACTCGAGTTCAAGGATACATTTCTGTCTTCTGGTGGAAGGGTTTGATTTGATCATGTTTTGGTTTATAACTAGTTTGTTTACTGATGCAGGAGATACTTTGGTCATAAACCAACAATCCGTCTAAATGCTAAGAAACTGTCTCCGTTGTTCATGAATCGTAATAACATGACGTGGGAAGAATTTGCCTCCAAGCTTCAAACTAATGAAATTGGATTCATGGGAGAACTAAATGAGATAAAGCCTGGCAGGGGTGAGTTCCATGAAAACCCAGCAGCCTGCATATGTAGTGCATCTAGCACAAAGTCCAACGAAGTTCCAATTCCTCAAAATGAAAGTTATGACAGCCAGAACATACATAAGGAGGATGACACGAAAAAGGACAGTGGTTATGTGACAGACGAGCAAATAACCGAGGATGAGCAGGATTGGTCTGAGATTGATTATATGGAAATGAATATAAATCGTTCTCAGGGTAAAGTGCTGCCTAGTGTAAGAGTTTCAGATCCAGGTCTTCTACTTAAACCTGACGAACCAGAACTCGAAGAGTTCTTTTCAGACTAGACTGAATTAATTAGGAGAAGACTAGACTGGATCTCCACCTCCGCGAGTTAGCTGATGTGTCCAAAGGAATTCATCACCAAAATTCTTTGCTGGTTTGTTTTGATAGGTTACTTGTGCGCACAAGATTGATTTTGTTACACTGAAGGGTAGTAATAACAAGGACGAACAATGTACATAGAAGGCCTCTGTAGCAGCAGCATCGGCATTGGAATAACAGAATGGAGGCGTAATATAGAGTCCTATTCAGATTTTGAAACTTGTAAATGAAGCTACTAGGACATCTTTTGCTGTTTTTTTTTTTTTTTTTTTCTTTTCATTTTCTCTGATGATTCTTGCCGTAAGGCAGGAATGTTGATATGATTTTTTTTTTCGGTCAAAAGAATGTTTATATGATCCTTGCTCTTCTTTTGTACCTTTTTTATTTTTTGAATTTTTTAAGTTCGTGTTCTATGATAGGCATTGAACCCAACGATGGCCTTGCTTTCTTCATCTCCCTTGAAAATTTTAATTTTTTGTAATTGCTTTATGGTGATGATGATAGAAAAACGTATTTGATTTAAGAAATGCAAACTGAAGAAATCCAACTTGAATGAAGCCATTCCAACTTGAAGCAGAAATCCAATTGATGCAAAATTTAGTACTGTTGACTTTTAACAATTTAATACTTGAATTGAATGAAGAAAATTACATGGCTTACATGGGGCGTGAGAAACTGAACTCAAAAGCATCCTCAGCCAAAAAGCTTGGCGATGGAGAGGGCAAAGGGTTAAAACAAGAAAGACATCCCTAAGCCTAACAAACTCAAAAGCATCCTCAGCCACAAGTCTTGCAAACCGCTCAAATAAAATGAAAATTTGAAGTTAGGGATATCAGCTTGATCTACAAAGCCCTCTGCTTTATCATCTCAGCATCTTTGCCATACAACAGACATATCCCACACTTTTCCACCTCCACCCCAACCCGAACGGGGAGGGGGCGTTGATAAGCAAGGTTGAAGTCAACATTGACCTCAGTAACAAGTTTGTAAAAAGCAGCGGGGCTTTGAGCTCCCTCTACAACTTCTTCAAAGACATTATTATCTAGTTTTGAAGTTGTATTTGCATGTAATGTCCACAGACCAATGCCGATGACCATGGCCAAGAACAAGAGATAGAGCGAAACCCAAGAAATCTGTGCTAAACCAATCACGAGGAAGCATGATTTTTATTGAAGACCCCTCACTTTGATGGCTGAACCAATCTGGAATTTCATACCCCCAACAACTAATGGCAACCAAAGATCTCTTGCCAAAAAATTCCTGTACCATGGATATGGACATCATAATTATTAAACTCGTGAAAAAAAAATCAGCTGCTTCAAGAGAAGTGAGTTAGACAGACAGTGTGTGTGTGTGTGAGGTAGAGAGAGAGAGAGAAAGAAAGAAAGAAAGAGAGACCTTATTTGATTGATTTGCATAATAGGAATCATATGCTTCTTCAATTTTGTCTTCTTTAAACTTTGACGACGCAATTGCCATTCGCATAATTCTGAGCTGTGCATCACCCATTATGTTGCTTCGTGCATTCTCATCCAACTTTGGGCAATAAGAAAATATATGTTTCTCATGAAGCCCTCTAGAAAATATATATTCTTCCCAACCTTGTGTGATTGCAGTGCTTGAACTTGACACTGTCTTCAGTGACGTGCAAACATCTGCTTCAAGATGTTGCAGCAATGGGGGGAGCTCTGGTAAAGATTCAAGGCTCATGCAATTTCTTAGGCACAGGCGAGACAGCTGAGCAGCTTGTTTGATGCTTGCAGGTAAGCTCTTAATTTTGGTCGAACTCAGATTTAACTCTTGTAATGAGGTTAAGCGAAAGAGGTAATCAGAGACAACCTCAAGGTTGCAACAACTGAGATCTAATTTTCGAAGCGCAACTAGATTTTCAATTGATGGGTGTAGCTCTTTAACCGCTGTACCTGATAAATTTAGAAACTCTAGATGTTCCATAACCTCCGAGATTTCTGGGAAGTTTTGAAATTTGGAGCAGTAATGGAGATTTAACTCTTGTAATGAGGTTAAGCGAAAAAGGTAATCAGGGACAACCTCAAGGTTCTCACAAGAACTGAGATCTAATTCTCGAAGCGCAACTAGATTTTCAATTGATGGGTGTAGCTCTTTAACCGTTGTACCTGATAAATTTAGAAACTCCAGATGTTCCATAGCCTCCGAGATTTCTGGGAAGTGTTGAAAGTTAGAGCAATTACTAAGATCAAGCCTCTCCAGAGATTTCAACTTCCAAATGTTCGCTGGGAGACTCACAAGGTTTATACAAGAGGCCATATTAATTGCAGTTGTATTCTTGGGAAGCTCCCAAAACTCGCGAAGAGATTCGCAGTCCTCTAGACTAAAAGAACCCGAGAGTTTCAGCTTACAAGTGTTGCTTGGAAGACTCTTAAGGTGTTTACAATATTTAATATCTAAGTGAGATATTTTTTCATGAGACCAAACTGATGAAGGCAATTCCTCAATTCCTGACGCAGTTAATATTAAGAATTCAAGATTGCATGGCATCTCGGGAAGAATTTTGATATTCTTGCACCCCCCAAGGTCAAGATGAGTAAGCTTATCAAGATGTTGAAAATACGAAGGAATTTCAACCATACTTATACATGAAGAGAGATTTATATGCTCAATTTTTCGACTCCGAGAGAGATTTGGAACTTCAGTTAGATGTGTGCAATTATGAAGATTGATCCATTTTAAGTTCACAAGACTCTGTAAAAAATTAAAAAAGAATTAATAACTTAGCTTGCAGATTATTACTTTCTAAGCCACATGTTATACAAAAACTAAAATAAGCATATATAATATACCTGGTCTTCAGTCCAAAGTTGCGCCACAACATCGCTGGTTGTTATTTCAAGGACAACAAGATTTTGAGCAGAAAATGTTGATGGCAAAGATTCCATAGGATATTTGTTCCATCCAAGATATCTAAGAGAATTGGGAAGATCAAAAGAAATAGTTAATGGACGATCAGTACAGACAGTCGATAGCAATCTCAGTCGATACATCTTATCGAAGTTTACATGTTCCGACTCCAAGTGTAGCCTTCCAATCTCAAACCAGTTAAGGCATATGGCTTGAACATCTCCATCTCTCTGACAATCCAGAGCAAAATATAAATGTAAATATAATATACAAAATTACATTTATAGGAATAATCTGACTTGTTTATTGTAAATGTACATGTGAATATTACTACGTACCTGGTTATTTGTCAACGCTTTATAGACATCATCTGCATTGAACAACCTACTGCCTTGTTTTCGAGCAATTGCCCTACCCATTTCCTGCACCAAATCATGCATCTCTATCCGTTCTTGTGAAAATGATATGAGAGACCTATCAATAAGATCATTGATTCCCACTTCCCCAAAGAAATCACAACTATCTAACATTCTTTCTACATCTTTCCTCAAATAGCCTTTATAAAAACATGCTATATCAAGAAATATCTCCTTCTCATTGTCATCTAATCCATCATAACTTACTCTCAACACTTGATCGATTTCTCCGATTGGAACTCGTTTCACTTTTTTCCATTGAAATTCCCACTCTTGTTTGCTCTTGCAACGACGGAATGAGGACCCCATAACTTTAAGAGCTAATGGAATGCCCTTAATATAATCCACCACCTCTCTTGACAACTCAGTGTAATCTGTTGTCGGAGACTTATTTCCAAAAGCATGCGAATGAAAGAGCCTAAGAGCCTCATCAGAACCTAATCCCTCAACATTGTATATCTTTTCACGGTCAACTTTTTGCTCAAGTAGGCCTTTATCTCTAGCAGTTATAATGATTCGACTTCCTTGGCAAAACTGATCATCATCACCAACAAGATGTTCTAGTTGTTTTCGAGCATTCACATCATCAAGAACAATGAGCACCTTCGTACGCCTGAGCCTAATTAGAATATGAGATGGTATAGACGGAGTGTTGATATTTACATCTTTATCCTTTAATATCTCACCAACAAGTGCATTTCGCAAGTCATTTAGTCCATCCGTTTTGTCTGATCTCTCCCTGACATTTGCAAGAAAACAACAAACTTCAAATTTAGAGGAGTGCCTGTGAAATACAGCATCAGCAAGGGTGGTCTTGCCAATACCACCCATGCCCCAAATACCTACACAGCAAACACCTACTGAATCCAAGCATAATAACGATTCGATTTGCTGGATGCGGCTTTTGATTCCAACCAGGCCCTTTATATCACATAATGACTCATGAATCAATTTTGTCCAAATATCGTCGACAACTTTCTTAACTAAAGCAGCCTCAGACCTGGCATATATATATGATCACGGACAAACAAACAGTTTGTAAGTTACAGAATTAGTCACAAGAAGAAATCAAAATATAAGTTACAGAATTAGTTACTCTGTTTTTTCTGAATCATCAAACCCAGATAGATTGGCTGCTTTTGTCAACGCATCCCTCCACTTGTGCACCTTGTCGATATTGTCCTTGAAGCGTTTTTCAAGTTGACGAAATGCAAGCGCATAATTCCCCTTCTGTTTTCGTACATCTGATGGACTGATATCGTAAAAAATGGGTACAACCAACTGGCCTTTTTTTTCTTTGCATTCTAGAATATGCACGAGTTCATCTAGACACCAAGTGGAAGAAGCATAGTTTTTTGAGAAAATGATTACCGAAATCGTAGATCTCTCGATTGCTTCGAGGAGGGCGGGCGCAATTTCATCTCCTCTCACAAGCCTGTAATCTATGTAGGTTTCGATTTTCTTCCTACATAAAGCATCATAAAGATGGCTGGTAAAAGTAAGGCGGGTGTCCTCACCTCTGAAGCTAATAAACACATCATACTTTTCTTGAAGAGGGGGGATATCAGTATCAACAGCAGCAACAGAAGAAGTGGAAGAAGAAGAAGAAGATGTTAATGATCTGAAGTACATGTAGAACAGAGTCATGATAAGTATGATGATTATGATGAAAACTTGAAAGAACTCAATGGATTCCATATCTGTTTATCTGAATGCACCAGAGCTATAATTAAAGCAAATCTGATATTTGAGGTGAAAACTTGAAGAAGAAAGATAATCTGAGGATCCAATTAAGCAGTTAAGAAAGAAAGAAAATGGAAAGCAATTGCTCAAAGTCAAGTTGAGGTGACTTGACTAAGTGCACAAAGCTACAAAACGATCCAGGAAAAAGACAAGTGAAATAATTAGGCAAGGAAATTCAAGCATTCATACACCGAAGAAAAGAAAGAGCACATGGGAGTGGCAGCACAATGGACCCCCTTTTGCTTTTGAGTTGGAATTTTTCCTGAGCAACTTTTGTTTTACTTACAACGTGTGAAGATTACATTTAAAGTCAACCGAGAAATTCCATGATAAGCCAATCTTTCATTGACTCTGTTTTTGCAGTAGCTTGTATGGTTTTGGTACTATCAAGACCTAGTTGATTTTTATTTTTTTATGAGTTATAAGTGATCGCGTTTTTATTTTAAATAAAATCCATCCTCGCTAACAAACTTAAAACAAGAACTCTCTTACTTCTATAATGATTCAAAACTATGGGATCGAAGAATGAAATAAAGATACCATATAAGAACTAGGAGAGCTGTCATTTAAAGAATTAGAGTTGTCATGTCACAAAACCAAGTTTGTATGTCAAGTATTACAAACATAGGAATTCCTACAAGTTTATAAATTTTTCAGAATTAATGATTTTTTCTTGAATATTCATTAAAAAAAACAGATAAACTTACTGAAATTTACAAATTCATGTCAGTTTCGAATCGTGTTGTTGTGTACAAGTTGTCAAACATCTAACATCATTGCGAGTCATTGTGATGAGGATTGAGGATGATGAATATTCAAGAACGCCACAACACACACCCCCATCAATTTTCACTTCCCTCAAAACATGAAGCAAACGTTATATACGACGATTGGAGTGCGAGAATATGTAAGTACTGTGGTTTGGTTTTAAGAGGGGAACCAACTATCTGTTTACTGTGTCGTACCATGACAAAATATGCACCCAACTTGATATGGCTTGGATAAGATTATACAAAGACAGGATTATTATTAATTTTCATAGGGTGGTGCTTGAATGAGTGCCTTTTCGTCGGGTTATATAGAATTGACAGCTCTAGGTTAATGTGGTTGTTCAGCTCACGAAGTTTGATTAACCAAGTCCTTATCCGAAACCAGATCACCAGTAAGCGCAAGATTCTGTGTAATGGAGTTTAACCGATCCAACAAATCAGTTATGGACAAATTACCGTGCACTGTCTGTGAAAACCAGAGAATGGTTTCAGTTCTCTTCATTCCTTTTCACGTGTTACATAAATAGCTATTAAAGTAATAGCTGTACAATGGAATAGTTTACAAAAAAGAAATAATATTACAGCAGTCTTCATGATGATGTCTTCTCCTTTTATCTGGCAGCATCTTCTTTAACATATGGCATCTTCTTTATCTGACAGCATGTTGATTCCATCATGTTGTTTTCTTCATGGCAGACTAACCACGTGTCAACACTCCCCCTCAAGTTGGTGCATAGATGTTTCGAATGCCCAACTTGTCGAGGCATGAATGAAAACTTCTACTTGATACAGCTTTTGTCAAGATGTCGGCCAATTGATCTTCAGTTTTAACAAATGGAAAGTCAACAATTCCAGCATCCAGCTTCTCCTTAATAAAGTGTCTATCCACTTCAACGTGTTTAGTACGATCGTGTTGAACTGGATTGTGGGCAATGCTAATGGCAGCTTTGTTATCACAATATAAATTCATAGCCTTCTTGGATTTGCAACCCAAGTCTCTCAACAATTTTCGCAACCACATGAGTTCACACACACCATGAGACATGCCTCTGTATTCGGCTTCAGCGCTTGACCTAGATACCACCTTTTGTTTCTTGCTACGCCATGTAACCAAATTCCCCCCAACAAAGGTGAAGTATCCAGATGTGGATCTTCTATCAACAATGGACCCGGCATAATCAGCATCTGTATAGGCTTGAACATCTAGATGACCATGTTTAGTAAACATCAATCCTTTTCCTGGTGCTGACTTCAAGTATCTAAGTATTCGAAGAACAGCTTCCATATGACTCTCACTAGGGGCATGCATGAATTGACTAACCACACTAACAGCATAGGCTATATCAGGTCGTGTATGTGACAAGTAGATTAGTTTTCCAACCAACTTCTGATACCTTTCCTTATTTGTTGGAATCTGATCAAGGCTTTCTCCCAACTTATGATTTTGCTCCATTGGAGTGGCTGCTGGTTTGCAAGCAAGCATACCAGTCTCACTTAACAAATCTAGGATATACTTTCTTTGAGACAAAGAGATGCCATGCTTAGATCTTGCCACCTCAATTCCAAGAAAGTATTTTAGTACCCCAAGATTTTTCATCTCAAATTCTTGAGCCAAGTATTTCTGAAGTTCTGTGATTCCTTCTTCATCATTACCTGTAACAACCATATCATCCACATAAATAATCAAGGCTGTCACTTGTCCTTTCCTGTGTTTCAGAAACAGCGTATGATCAGAATTGCTCTGTTTGTACCCAAATCTTTTCATAGACAAACTGAATCTCCCAAACCAAGCCCTGGGTGACTGTTTCAGTCCATATAAAGATTTCCTCAGCTTGCACACCTTGCCAACATCTGTTTCCATAACAAACCCAGGTGGAAGATTCATATACACCTCATCTTTTAAATCACCATGTAGGAAAGCATTTTTCACATCAAATTGATGTAGCGGCCAGTCTAGGTTGGCAGCCAGAGATAAAAGGACTCGAATAGTGTTGATTTTAGCTACTGGCGCAAAAGTCTCTGAGTAATCAACACCATAAGTTTGAGTGTAGCCTTTTGCTACCAATCTTGCCTTGTATCTCTCTACTGATCCATCTGCTTTGTGTTTTACAGTAAACACCCATTTACAACCAACGGGTCTCTTGCCTTTAGGCAAGTCAACAAGTTCCCAGGTACAATTTTTTTTTAGTGCCTCCATCTCCTCAACCATAGCAATCTTCCATTTTGGGTCACCAAGAGCATCCTGTAAGCTACTAGGTGTAGACACAGAAGATATGTGGTTTGTAAAAGCAATATAAGAACTGGATAAACGATGGTTAGACACATAATCAGATATTGGATATTGAACAGTTTTTACTGTAGAGTAGCCAAACCTTTCTGGAGGTATCCCACGATTTTTACGAATTGGAAAACGAGGAGAATTAGAGACATCTATAGACTCATTTGAGTCATCTAGATTATCCCTAGCTGAAATATCATGGTTATCAACATTATCAGTATGTATGGAAGGTGGCGGGGATTGTGGAATTACCTCAGAATGATCTTCATGCAAAGCAGCAGGTTGATTTGGAACATGGTCAGGAAGTGGAAGATCTGTTACTACTTCATTTCTCTTCCTTCTTTGGTACACTTGCAACTCTTTTTCATGTGTATCATGTGTATCAGCAGTATTAGGTGATGGTACATATCCAATATCAGGGAACTGCTCTTCCTCTCCATCATTCTCCCCCTGAAGAGGAGTGACCGAAAAATAGGCCTCTTCTTCACAGAATGTAACATCCATAGAAATAAAAAAATTTCCTGATGGGGGATAGTAACACTTGTACCCCTTTTGTGAGACAGAATAACCGACAAACACACATTTGAGGGCACGAGGATCTAGTTTGTCACGACTGTGTTGGTGAACATGAACATAGCTAACACATCCAAACACTTTAGGTTGAATATGAAGAACTGAAGGAATAGAATGATACTGAGAAAGGGTCTGAATAGGTGTTTGGTACTGGAGAACCCGAGATGGTACACGATTTATAAGGTACACGGCTGTGCAAATGGCATCGCCCCAAAAACGTTTTGGAACATGCATAGCAAAGCATAAAGAACGAGCCACTTCTAAAAGATGACGATTTTTACGTTCTGCTATACCGTTCTGTTGAGGAGTATATGGACTGGAAGTTTGGTGTATGATGCCATTTTGCTCAAAAAAGGTTCTAAGTTCAGAATTCAAATACTCACCCCCATTGTCAGATCGGACTACTTGCACTGGTACATGAAACTGTGTTTGAATCATGTGATGAAATATAGGAAAAATGGATGAGACATCACTTTTATTTTTCAACAGATAAACCCAAGAGACACGAGTACAATCATCAATGAAGGAGACAAAGTACTTAGCACCAGTGTAAGTAGGAACATGAAATGGACCCCACACATCGGAGTGAATAAGAGAGAATGGAATATGACTTTTATTGGAGCTTACAGGGAATGAAACACGATGACTTTTTGCAAAAATACAAGTTTCGCAATGGAAGTCAGACACATGAACTTTAGCAAATAAAGAAGGAAATAGAAGTTGTAAATATTGAAAGGATGGGTGACCCAATCTTTTGTGCCACAACCAAATTTCGGCGTTAGCCTGTTCTGTACTAACTTGATAACCACTTCTTACTTAAGGATCAGGCAGTTTTGAGTCCAAGTAGTACAATCCTCCGCTTTCCTTACCATGACCAATCTGCTCCTTTGTCTGAAGATCCTGAAATAAACAAGAGGTAGGAGAAAAAATAGCCAAACAATTGAGATTTTTAGTAATTTGACTAATAGAAAGCAAATTATGGGAGAGAGTAGGGACATGTAAAACAGAGGACAGCGACAATGATGGAGTTAGGGAAACAGATCCTGCTCCTAAAACTGGAGTGGAAAAACCGTTAGCAACCTTAACAGTTTTTGTATGTGGATGACTGGGGGAAACAAACCAAGCAGTATTATTAGTCATATGATCGGAAGCTCCTGAATCAATGATCCAGAGTTTATCGCTAGCATTAAAGGGTGTGCTCACTGCTAAACCATAGTGACTTGTACCTGGATATGGTGAGGAAGTGGAAGTAGTGTTGGGGAAAACTCTGAGAGCAGACTGATCCATATGTGGTGAAGAACCATGAGGTAAAGGTTGTGAAGCCAAATTTGCAACACTTTTTTTCTTCTCTTTTCCCTTTTCTTGTTTGTCCACCCACCAATCTGGATATCCAACCAATTCGAAACAAGTTTCCCGAGTGTGTTTTTTCTTCCCACAGTGGGTACATTGGCGTGTGTCAAGCTCCTTTTGTCCCGGCTTTGGATGACCACTTCTAGGTACAGGGCGATGTAAAGTGGTTGTCATAGCTGACCCGTCAACATGTGAGCCAGCTAACATGGTTGCTTGCCTATTAGCTTCAGAGCACACCTGTGCATATGCGGCTTGCACACTCGGGAGAGGATCTTCGGCTAGAACTTGACCTCGAATTCTATCCAAATGATGGTCAAGTCCAGCCAAGAAGTCATATAATCGTTCGTTCGAAATTTCCGTTGTGCGGGCAGCAACATCATCTGAACACTTCATTTTGCTTGGTCGCAAGACATCGATTTCTTGCCAAATTAACTGTAATGTACCATAATAATCAGATAAAGACGTACCATTCTGACGAGTTGCGAGTGCCTTACACCGAAGCTCATATAATTTTGATGCGTCTTTACCAATAGAATAGGTCTGAGTAACAGCATCCCACACTTCTTTCGCAGTAGAAAGGCTAAGAAAAATAGCCCTTAAATTTCTGGTCATGGAATTGAGAAGCCAGCACTGAACCATGGCATTTTCTTCTTCCCAGGTGGAATACAAAACATCTGCTTCTGTTGGTGTCGCCTTTGTGCCAGTGATATATCCCCATTTTCCTCTTCCAAGAATATAAAGTTTGACACTACGGGACCAAGAAGAGTAATTGGAACCATCCAATTTATCCGGCGTGATCTGCAATGTCATGTCATTTTGGGTGACAGAACTGGAAGTCGATCCAGAGCTGGCCTTTTTTTCAGAATCACCCATGGGCTTCTTTTTTCTATTTTTCAGACTTCGTCAAGATAGTGAGGTGGCGATGAGTCTGAGAGTTCTGGGGAACAAATATCGATTTGAAGGGTAGAGCTGCTGAAACTGTCAGCAGTTTAGAGAAAGAAAAAAAAATTCACAGAGATCTTGAAGCTCTGATACCATGTGAAAACCAGAGAATGGTTTCAGTTCTCTTCATTCCTTTTCACGTGTTACATAAATAGCTATTAAAGTAATAGCTGTACAATGGAATAGTTTACAAAAAAGAAATAATATTACAGCAGTCTTCATGATGATGTCTTCTCCTTTTATCTGGCAGCATCTTCTTTAACATATGGCATCTTCTTTATCTGACAGCATGTTGATTCCATCATGTTGTTTTCTTCATGGCAGACTAACCACGTGTCAACACTGTCTTCATCAACTCTTGGCATAACTCGAAGCACCATTGTTGCCTGATTCAGCAGGGTCTTGTTGACGGCCATGGCTGTCTCAAGCACTCTTGTCTTTCTTGCTTTCTCTAGGCAGAAGACTTTCCTACCAATCTCCAAAGAAAACTGCTCTGCGTTCTTGATTGGCTCTGTGATTATTTTTTTTTCCTGAAAGAATACTGATAGATTTTATGGTTCTTGGCAAGGCTTTTTTTTCTATTTTCGACCAATCAAATTTAGAAATCTTCGCGTATAACTTCTTGTTTCTGGTCTACTACAACAAATTACTGGCTGTTTTTTTCTGTTCTTAATTGCTCTGTTGAAGATTTCCATTTTCTCCTTCTTAAGATTGAGCTGCTGAAGTTGGAGGTAGCAAAGGCAGGGAAGACACCTGAAGTTGGAGGTACAATCTGTTGCCTGCTTTCATAGGTTTCTTATATTGGACGACATTCTATTTTCCAATTTCACTGAAGTGGCAGCAACGGCAAAGCACATTGTGTACATTAAGGCCTCAGCAGTTGAGTTCGAAAACAAACAAGCTTCGAAGTTAGAACAGAGCAAATCAAATGGATCACTTGACGATTTTGGATTCAGTCTGTTAGCACAAAGGAAAGGAAATACTAAAGACATATTGAAGATAAATTAACAGATTCTCTTTTCATTACACACAGGCTTCCAATAACAATCACACAATTTCTTGAAACCCAAATTGAACTACAGAGAATCGAGACAAGCCAATGCCAGAAATTCGAAAACTATGTAAACAGACCAAATGAGAATTACAAAAGTTTCCTTAAACTAAACAGAAAATCAAGCTTAAAAAGGAAGCAAGTTTTTGTAAGATAAAGTCGAGAAGTTCAAGTTTGTGCTTTTCTATTCCTCTCCATAGTTTTCACAACAGCCAAATAAATTCAGGTGAAAAAAGACTTCTACCATGCACACAGGGCGCCAAAAATGTGTTTTACACTTTCCTTTTCCCTTTTCAATTGTCTGAAGAGGTATTTCCCTTGTGGTTCCTTATACACTCCCACTTCCATGCCCTTGCACACAGGGCGCCGAAAGTATCACTTCCACTTGCTTCATACTCATCACCAGCTCTCTCAGTTTTAATATCTTCTTCTACTTTTAGTTCGTCGGACGGATGAGAAGATTCATCGGAATGTTGTGTGAGTGCAGTCCTTGAACTTTGCAGTGTCTTAAGCGAAGTGCAACCATGTGCTTCAAGAATGTCTAGAAGTACTGGGAGCTCTGGTAAAGATTGAAGCCTCTTGCAATTGGTTAAGCGCAGTATAGACAGCTGAGAAACTTGTTTGATGCTTGCAGGTAAGCTCCTGATCTTGGTTCCACTTAGATCTAAATCTCGTAATGTGGTTAAGCAAATGAGGGAATCATGGATCTCTGATATACCACAATAACTGAGGTTTAGTTCTTCCAAAGACCACAAACCAACAGAGAAGGAAGGCAAGTTTTTAAGTTTCGAACAGCCACCAAACATGAGAGTTTTAAGACATTTTAAATTGTAGATGCTACTCGGGACAAACTTAAGGTTTTTGCACCGATACAGCTCTAATGTTTGAAGCGCAATTAGATTTTCAATCGACGAGGGTAGCTTTTTAACTGCTGTTTCTGATAAACTAAGAAAGTTTAGATGCTCCATAGGCTCCAATATTTTTGGGAAGTATTTAAATTTGAAGCAACGAGTGATAATAAGTCTCTCAAGAGAATTCAACTTACAGATGCTCATTGGGAGGCTCGCAAACCTTCCACAATTTTCCAGTACAATTTTCTTGAGACAAGAGAGATGCTCAATTGACGAGGGCAATACTTTCATTGATGTCTCAGTCAACTCTAACTCGGTCATATTCCTGGGAAGCTCGGAAAACTTGCCAAGAGATGAGCAGCCCCGTAAACTCAAATGACGTAATTTTAGCTTACAACTGCTGCTGGGTAGATTCTTAAGGTCCTTACACCATTCAATATCCAAGAAAGATAATTTTTCATTAGTCCAAACTGATGAAGGCAAATTTTTTATTGCAGTGCTACTTATATCTAAGTATTCAACATTTCCTGGTATCTCTGGAAGAGATTTGAGATTCGAGCAGCCTCCCATGTTAAGATAAGTCAGCTTGTCAAGACTTTGATAACAAGGAATTTGAACCAAACTTGTGCATTCTTCAAGATTTATATATTCAACATTTGGACTCTCAGAGAGATCTGGAACTTCAGTCAGTTTTCTGGAGTAACTAAGATCGATCACTTTTAAATTCCCAAGATTCTGTAACAAATTACAGAGAAATGGCAAGAGTTAACAACTTAACTTGAATAACTTTCCACACCACATTTTGCACTACAACTAAAATTAGCATATATACCTGGCCTTCATTCCAAAGTTGTTCCACATTGCTGTAGGACATTCGAAGCTCGACAAGATTTTTTGGAGAAAATTCTGATGGCAATGATTTCAATTGATATCCCACCCAGCAAAGATAACTAAGAGAATTGGGAAGAGAAACTTCCAAATCCCAGTAATTTCCAAATCTAGAATTGTCAACATGAAGCAATCTTAGATTATACATCTTTTTGAAGTCTGCATGATTCAAGTGTGGCTGTCCAATCTCAGACATGTTAAAGAATATGGCTTGAACCGTTGCAGTTCCCTGACAATCAAATGCAAAGTATAAATATGAACAAAATATATATACAACAAGAATCAATTGTTACATTTATAGGCATCTAACTTGTTTATAACAAAAGAGTTTCTCACGTTTTTCACTAAGAAAGTTAATGAATATGGCTCTTACCGTATTGTTTTTCAACATGTGATAGACATCCTCAGCCATAAACAACCTACTGCGTTTCCCGGGCTCTTCAATACATTGTTCGCGAACAATTTCCCTGCCCATGTCTTGTAGCAAATCATGCATTTCAATGAACATGCTTTCTGAAATTGATATGAGAGACTTATCACTAAGAACTCTAATTGCTCGACGAAAACCACTAGCATCTAGCATTCTTTGTACAATATACTCCGTCTCCACTTTATTAAAACATGCTATATCAAGAAACACCTCCTTCACATTCTCTTCCAATCCATCAAAAGGTCTCAACACCTTCTGGATCTTTTTGCTTAGAACTTCTTTGAATTTGATCAACTCATCTAGCCAATCTTCTTTGCTCTCACAGTGAAGGAATGAGGAACCCAAAATTTGAACACCTAATGGAATGCCTCCAGCATAACCCACCACCATTTCAGCCAACTCTGTATAATCTGTTCTAGGAGCGTTATTTTTGAAAGCATTCAAATGAAAAAGTTGAAGAGCTTCATCGTGTGTTAATGCCTTAACCTTGTATATCTTATCATCTTCAACAGTTTTCTTAAGTAGGCTCCTATCTCTAGTTGTTATAAGGATTCTACTTCCGGGGCCAAACCGAGCATGATCTCCAGCTAGAAGTTCTATTTGGCTTGAGTCATTCACATCATCAAGAACAATGAGGACCTTTGTACGACTTAGCCTCTCTCTAACAAGATCAGATCCTATAGATGGAGTGTCGATATTTAGATTCTCATCATCTAATATCTTCTGAAGAAGTGTATTTCGCAAGTGAATTAGTCCATCTTTTTCTTCTGATTTCACCCTAACATTTGCAAGAAAACAAGCAGCTTCGAATTTAGAAGAGATTCGGTGAAATGTAGCATCAGCAAGAGTGGTCTTGCCAATACCACCCATGCCCCAAATACCAACACTGTAAGCATCTAGCGAATCATCATCAATGCATAATAATGACTCAATTTCCTCGATGCGGTTTTCAATTCCAACCAAGCCCTTTAAATCACTTGATGTTTTGCGGTTCAATTTGCTCAAAACATCTTTGACAACTTTCTTAACTAAATCAGACTCTAGCCTGACACATGAAGCACAACCAATAGTTAGTAACTTAGTAAGTATGCCTGGACTGATATTCTCCTGAATCAAATGGTCAGAAATAGAAATTAATAAAAGTCACAGAGTTAGTTAATTACCCGGTTTTGCTTGAATTATCAAACCCTGATATTTTGGCTGCCTTCCTCAAAGCAACCCTCCACTTGTGCACCTTGTCCATATTGTCCTTGAAACGTTCTTCAAGTTGAGCAAGTGCATCTGCATAACTACCCTGCTGCTTACGTACATGTGATGGTTCGATGTCGTAAAAGATCGGTATAACAAACTGCCCATCTCTTCCCTTGCATTCTAGAATATGCACAAGTTCATCCAGACACCAAGTGGAAGAAGCATAGTTTTTTGAGAAAATGATTATCGAAAGCTTTGATTTCTCTATTGCTTCAAGAAGGGCAGGTGCAATTTCATCTCCTCTCTCGAGATTGTTATCTATGTAGGTCTGAATTTTCTTCCCAAGCAAAGCAGCATGAAGATGGCTGGTGAACGTATAGCGGGTGTCCTCACCTCTGAAACTTAGAAACACATCATACTTTTCATCCATAACCTGAGCAAACCCACCCACAAGTCAAAATATGCGTGCCTGGGCTACCTATGAATATAAATCTAGTTATGTATCCACACAACACATATATTCAAAAGAAAATGAAATTAACAACGTCAAGTAAGCTAAAAATTGTGTGTATATATTCAGAATGAGAGATGCGACACTAGAAAATCTTTCTGCAATAGAAATATAAGAGATTTGGACTACTTACAGTAATTAATAATGAAGTTAGACACTGCTATGGTGTTTTTATTATTGCAGAGAATTCTAGTCAGTGGGATTACCTCCAGGTCAAGAAAGAAGTTGCACCTCAGAAATCAGAATCGAGATAAGCATGACTTAATTACTAGCAAGTGTTGGCCACGTCACTTAAAGAAATAGAAAGCAAAATAGAAAGCAAAATAAATCAAAATCGGAGTTCATAAGCAAAATGAAATGATAAGTAGTCAAAAAGAAAATTGCAATCGTTAGCTTCATTATATACAAAGTATAAGGTACAAGTTTGAGCTGAATAATTTTTCTTAGGATTTGTTTGGGAATACTTGATTAGTCCTTAAGGTTAGGGATGTGGAGCCTAGTTAGTAAAATACGGAACGGAAAAAATACGAATAAAATACATACGTGTTTTATTCGGCAAAATTTTGACAAGATACAACTGAAAAATTCGCCTACTATATAATAATAATTTAAAATATATTATTTTTATTGAATAATATGGGGAAATTACTAGTATAATACATGAATTTTGTCTATATTATTCAAAATTTTATAAAAAACCACATATATTAAATATAAAAAATACGCACATACGTGTATATATATATATATATATATATATATATATGTAAAAGAACTGGTGAAATACAGCATCAGCAAGGGTTGTCTTGCCAATACCACCCATGCCACAAATACCTACACAACAAACACCTGGTGAATCAAAGCATAATAAAAACTCTATTTCCTTAATTTTCCTTTTAATTCCAACCAGGCCCTTTAAATCACTTGACAATTCGCGATTCAATTTGGTCAAAATATCTTCCTCCAAAGCAGCCCTCCAGTTGGCCACCTCATCCATATTGCCCTTAAAACGTTTCTTAAGTTGAAGGCCTTCAAGTGCATAAGTTCCCTGCTGTTTTCGTACATATGTGATGGATCTATGCCACAAAAAATGGATATAATTACCCAAGCACTGTCGGTGGACGAAAATTCGAGAGCATATGGGATAATGGGAGGTGGCAGCACAAACTTTTGGGTTTTGAGTTGGAATTTTTCTAGCTAAAGTGACAATAGGCCCCCCTGTTTATGCGTTTTACGTACAAAGTTGTTCCTTTTATTACTTTTGGTAGGACATCCATTAAACTACAGCCATTCCAACTTCCAGCTGATATCCAAGTCAGGTAAACAATTAATAATACATATTCAATGAAGAAAATTACTTGGCTTAAAACAAGTAAGACGTCCCTCAGCCTGACAAGACAAGGCTTGCAACACTCTAGTAAAATTATCTTGCACGGGCAGATCCTAAAATCAGATGAATGTTTCTAACTACTTGAACTACAAACTCTTTGCTTAATAATCTCAACATCTTGGGCATACAACGGACAAATCCCACATTTTTCCACCTTGTAATCTGAACAGAATTCTTCGAAAACCTCATCTTCTTCGGAGTTAAACTCTTGTATGTCGTAGAATTCAAAAGAGGCCTCAGTAACAAGTTTGTAAAATGCAGGGGGTCTTCGAGCACCCCCTTCAACTTCGAAGATGTCATACCACCACACAAGCACCTCATGAGAATCTTCTAAAGTGCTTCCATGCGAACACGGATTATACAAAGAATGGTTGATTTCATGGCTTTCACCATTACTTGTTTTGAAGTTGTACCTGCACCCAAACTCCATTTCCCATTTAGCATCTTCGGTGTTCAATGCAATAACAAGAGATAGAGCGAAACCCAAGAAATCTGTGCTAAACCAATCAGGACGAAGCTCAATCTTTATTGAAGATCCCTCACTTTGATGGCTGAACCAATTTGGAATTTCATACCCCGAACATGTAATGAAAATTGAAGATCTGCCAAAATCTTCCTGTACCATGGTTGGATATCATAGTTATTAAACTCGTTAAAAAAATAGTAGATGCTTCAACAGAAGTGAGTGAGACATTCAGAGTGTGTGCGTGAGCAAGAAAGAAAGAAAGAAAGAAAGAGATATAGAGACCTGAATCATATCCTCTCGATCAAATTCATCTTCTGAATCAGTATCATTATAGGAATCATCTAAATCTTCTAAAAAACGCGCTAATTCAATTTGTTCTTCTTTAAACTTTGAAGACGCAGTTGCCATTCGCATAATACTGAGCTGTGCATTAGCCATTATGTTGCTTTGTGAATTCTGATCCAACTTTGGGCAACTAGAAAAATTATGTATCTCATGACGCCCTGGAAAAAATATATATTCGTCCCAACGTTGTGCGAGTGCAGTGCTTGAACTTGATGAGACTGTCTTCAGTGACGTGCAACCTTGTGCTTCAAGACGTTGCAGAAATGGGGGAAGCTCTGGTAAAGATTCTACGCTCTTGCAATCGATTAGGCGTAGGCGAGACAGCTGAGCAGCTTGTTTGATGCTTGCAGGTATGCTCTTAATTTTGGTCTCTCTCATATTTAACCCTCGTAATGAGGTTAAGCAAACGAGGCCATCAGGGATTTCTAGGATACTGCACTTCCTGAGGTATAGGTCTTCCAAAGAAAGCAATCCGACTGAGTCTACTGAGACAGGAGGCAATTTCTTCAATTTCGAACAGCCATCAAAATTGAGAAATTGAAGAGTGCTTAAATTGTAGATGACGTTCGGGACAACCTCAAGCTTCTTACACTCATGGAGATCTAATCCTTGAAGCCTAATTAGGTTTCCAATCGACGAGGGTAGCTCCTTAATTGATGTACATGATAAAATAAGAAGCTTCAGATGTTCCATAGGCTCCAAGACTTCTGGGAAGTACTGAAAGTTAGAGCAAAAACTGAGATTAAGTCTCTCAAGAGATTTCAACTTGCAAATGTTTGTTGGCAGACTCACAAGACTTTTGCAAGAGGACAGATTAATTTCAGTGAGACCAAAGAGGCACTCGATTGATGAGGGCAACACTTTTATTGCTGTCTCACTCAAATCTAGCACTCTTGTATACATGGGAAGCTCTGAAAACTCGCGAAGAGATTGGCAGCCGTGTAGACTAAAAGTACCGGAGACATTCAGGTTACAACTGCTGCTTGGAAGCTTCTCAAGGTCTCTACAATAACTAATATTAAAGTCAGAAATTTTTTTGTGAGACCAAACTGATGAAGGCAATTCCTTTATTGATGTATCAGATAAATCTAAGAATTTAACATTGCGTGGCATCTCTGGAAGAGTCTTGATATTTATGCATTGCCCAAGTCCAAGATAAGTAAGGTTGTCAAGATCTTGAAAGTACGAAGGAATTTCAACCAAACTTAAACAGCAACCCAGATCTATACGCTCAATTTTTAGGCTCCGAGAGAGATTTGGTACTTCAGTTAGATGAAAGGAGGAACAAAGACTGATCACTTTTAAGTTGATAAGATTCTGTAACAAATAAAATAGAAATGACAAGAATTAATAGCTTATAGCTTGCAGATTATTACTTTCTATGCCACATGTCATACAAGAACTAAAATAATCATATATACCTGGTCTTCAGTCCAAAGTTGCGCCCCAACTTGGCTGGACGGCAGATGAAGCTCAACAAGATTTACAGGAGAAAATTTTGATGGCAAAGATTTCAAAGGATATTCGTGCCAGTGAAGATAACTAAGAGAATTGGGAAGATCAAGAGAATCCATTACTGTGCTCCTCTCGGAAAACTTAGAATGCCCGACACGTAGCCATCTCAGTTGACACATCTTTTCGAAGGTTGCATGATTCAAGTGTAGCTTTTCAATCTTAGACCAGTTAAAGGATATGGCTGGAACAGTTGCAGTTATCTAATAATCGAGAGCAAAGTATAAAGGTGAACTAATATACAATATGTTTAATCAAAATTATATTTGTAACTTGTTTATTGTAAATGTGAATATAACATGAACTACGTACCTGGTTATTTGTCAATACTTGATAGACATCCTCTGCACTGAACAACCTATTGCGTCTTCCGGGTTCTTCAATACATTGTTCGCGAACAATTGCCCTACCCATTTCTTGCACCAAATCATGCATCTCTATAGAATTGCGTTTTGAAATTGATATGAGAGACCTATCAATGAGAACTTTGATTCCGACTTCCCCACAGAAACGACGACTATCTAATAACACTTTTACATCATTCATGTTATCGCCTTTATGAAAACATGCTATATCAAGAAATATCTCCTTCTCATTTTCTTCTAATCCATTGTAACTTAGTCTCAACACTTTCTTGATTTCTTCGCTTGGAAATCGTTTCAATTTGTTCCATTGATCTTCCCACTCTTGTTTACTCTTGCAACGAAGGAATGAGGACCCCATAACTTTAAGAGCTAATGGAATGCCTTTAACATATTTTGCCACCTCTATTGACAACTCAGTATAATCCGTTGTTGGAGACTTATTTTTGAATGCATGCCAATGGAAGAGCTGAAGAGCTTCATTGAATCTTAATGCCTCAACCTCGTATATCCTATCAACTTTTTCCTCAAGTAGGCCCTTGTCTCTAGCAGTTATAATGATTACACTTCCGTCGACAAACCGATCATGGTCACCAACAAGAACTTCTAGTTGGCTTGAAGCATTCACATCATCAAGAACAATGAGCGCCTTCGTACGACTGAGCCTATGTCGAATAATAGGTGATATAGACGGAGTTTGGATATTTAGATCTTTTTCCTTTAATATCTCACAAAGAAGTTTATTACGCAAGTGGTATATTCCATCTCTTTCTTCTGAGTTCTCCCTCACATTTTTAAGAAAACACGAAGCTTCAAATTTAGAAGAGAGTCGGTGAAATACAGCATCAGCAAGGGTGGTCTTGCCAATACCGCCCATGCCCCAAATACCTACACAGCAAACACCTGGTGAATCTAACCATAATAACGACTCTATGAACTCAATTTTCTTTTCAATTCCAACCAGACCCCTTAAATCACTTGACGATTCACGATTCAATTTGGTCAAAACATCTTGGACAACTTTCTCAACAAAATCGGCTTCTGTCCTGGCAAATATCATTATGAAAGCCAAACAATAGTAAGTATGAATCAAATTATCACAAATAGAAATTGATTCAAGTTAGAGAGTTGGCTACCCTGTTTTCCTTGAATAATGAAACCCAGACATATTGGCTGCTTCCTTCAAAGCATCCCTCCAGTTAACCACCTCATCCCTACTGGCCTTGAAACGTTTTTCAAGTTCATCAAGTGCAAGTGCATAAGTTCCCTGCTGATTTCGTAGATCTGATGGATCTATGCGATAAAAAATGGGTATAACAATCTGTCCATGGCTTTTCTTGCATCCAAGTATATGCACAAGTTCTTTCAAACACCAAGTGGAAGAAGCATAGTCTTTTGAGAAAATTACTAGTGCAATTTTCGATTTCTTGATTGCTTCTAGAAGGGCAGGTCCAATGTCGTCTCCCTTCTCCAGTTTGTAATCCATGTAGGTCTCAATTTTCTTCCCAAGTAAAGCCTTGTGAAGATAGCTGGTAAAACCATCGCGGGTGTCCTCACCTCTGAAGCTAATAAACACATCATACTTTTCTTGAAGAGGGGGGATATCAGTATCAACAGCAGCAACAGAAGAAGGGGAAGAAGAAGAAGCAGATGTTAATGATCTGAAGTACACGTAGAACAGAGTCATGATGAGTATGATGATTGTGATGAAAACTTGAAAGAACTCAATGGATTCCATATCTGTTTCTCTGAATGCAAATCTGATATTGTAGATGATGGATGGGTTTAATTAAGCAGTTCAGAAAGAAAGAGAATAGAAAGCAGTTGCTTTGCAAAAACAATTGCTACAAAACGATCCAGGAAAAAGACAAGTGAAATAATTAGGCAAGCACTGTCGGTGGACAAAAATTCAAGCATTCATACACTGAAGAAAGAATGGGAGTGGCAGCACAATGGACCCCCCTACACGCTTTACGAACAAACTTCTGCTTTTGAAGATAAAGAAAGATAGAAAGCAGTTTGTGAGTATTTAGATATAGAAGAAAGAGAATCTGATATTGCCAATTAAGCAAGGGAGAGAGAGAGAGAGAGAAAGAGAGAGAGAGAGAAAGAAATAAGTTGCCACTGCCAGCTTGAGTTGTTTAGGAAGAAAGAGAATTGAAAGCAGTTGCTTGCAGCTAGATCAGAATTTTAGTTTAGCAATTGTACAAAGCTCGAAAACGATTCAGGAAAATAATCAGAGATGGAAAAAGAGAAGAGGAATAATTTACTCAAGCACTGAAGAAAGAAAAGGGCATATGGGATAATGGCTGGGAGTGGCAGCACCAACTTTTGCTTTTGAGTAGGATTTTTTCTTGAGTTCAAATTCTAGCTGAGGTGACAATAGGCCCCCCTGTTTATGCGTTTTACGTACGAAGTTGTTCCTTTTATTACTTTTGGTACAAGACAATATGAGGGAGAATTTGACAAGAGACGAGACCATGTTGCGGGGAGACTAATTAATTGCTAAGTATAATTAAGAAGGATTAAGCAAGAGAGAGAGAGAGAGAGTGAGAGAGAGTAGTTTAGTCATTCACCGAATAGAATCGTTAATGAAAAAGCTGAAAGAAACATAATAAAGTTTAAAAAATTATTAAAACCAACGAAAAATCGAAAAATGAAACATCAAATTATGGAAATTTCTAAGCATTGGGCTTTGTCTCCCAAACTTCTTCGTCTCAATCATTGGGTTTTGTTTGGAAGTTAGACTGAAAATCCAAGTTGGATTCAAAGAAGGGAAACCTTTGTTTATGGGTCGGGTCGGGTCCAATGACTGATGGTGAAAGGTGTTGTGAGACGTGGCAAAAAATCCTAACCCACACCCATCTGGCAACAACCGGCACACTCCGTCACTTTCATTCATCACTCCGAAACGACGGCGTATCACAGCTCATTCTCATGGTGCCGTACTTAAACTCCAGACCATCTCCTTCGTCTTCTTCTTCGTCTTCTTCTTCTTCTTCCATCTCCGCCAGTGCTGGTTCCCCAGTTTGATATATTGAAGAAACAGTGTAAAGAGATAGATTTAACAAATGTACAAGGAAATCGGATTTGTTCCATGGTTGCAGCAATGCCGCCGATAACTTTGCAAGTAAAGTATATTAGATATTTATTAACTTTATTTATGCCTTTTTTTCTCCATGGTTGCAGTAATGACGTCGTAATTGAATCGATTCTATTAGGCTTTCGGTTAACTTATCTGAGGCTTTTGATTTACAAAACCAATGCCCTAAATGTTGCAGCTGCTGATGTGAAAGCATATTTGTTGACTGCTACTAGTGGAGGCTTCAACCAACAAAGAAGACGGGTGAGTTTCTTGATTGAGCTGGAGCTGCAGATTAATCCAGTCGAATCCCGTCTTAGTTTTCTTCCATTTGAGGTCTAACTTATCGTTCTAATAATATCTTCATTTAAGGCTTAAAAGAAATTTAAAGAAGATCGTGGTTATGCATTCAGATTCCAAATCGCTTCTTTATTATTCTAAATGTGGATTGGTATTTTGTTCAGGCATCTGGTTATAAGTAGATCCTGTATAAGATTTGTTGATAGGACTTTGTAACTTTTTCATTCCATGAGTGATGAGACTGGTTTGTAATCATGCATGTTTTTTCTGCTGATTCAGCATCTGATGCTTCCTTTCTTGATTCTGTTACAGATAACTGATGCTGTTCTTGCAGCTTATATCTTAAGCTGGACCAGAAATCATTTTGGAAGGATTCCAGGTCAGTTTCACCATATCGCAGTTTAAAAACTACTGTCAAGGTCAATGTAAGCAAAACAGTCAGTGGATTAATATTGTTATTCGGGTATTTGGTGCAGCAACTTTGACGAAATCTTTGATGTAGACTGGTTTATATAATCTCTATCAAAAGATGTTGAAATCATTAAACAGCTTCCAACAAAGAGAGGAAAACCAATGAGTCCATATACCATGCGTGTCCCAAGGAAGTGCAATGCAAAATGCTACCAGAATCGTTGAGTGCCTGTTCTTAATAAAAAGCATGTACGTGTCTTTCAGGAGAACCTACCACATATTTGTAAAGAATTCGTTAATTATCATATGCTGGTGCATATAACCGAGGAAGAAAAAATTCTGGTGCTTGAATTAGTGCCTTTTCAGGTTATATAGAATTTACAGTTGTTTGTTATGCTTTCTAATGTGCAGGCTGTTCAGCTCACAAAGTTTGATTACAGGCTTTCAAATAAGTTGGATTCAAATTTACAAAAGCTTAGGTGTAGAGAAAATTTTCATGCCTTGAAGTTTACTGACCTTATTAATGAAATGGGGAAAACGTTGGTTGACAGAATGAGGATGAAAAGCAAGCATTTCATTGCCCTGCATTTGAGGTAAATTGCAAAAAAAATTAGCTGCTTGAGTTTTTTTTTTTTCCTACTGTACATACTAATATACTGTGAGCAAGTTATGCCTTCAACATAATACTTGCTTGTGCAAATAATTTCTTTGTAGAGTTAATGTGTGTTTTGTCTTGAAAAATGATTGAATTTTGTTTTCTTTAGCATGCTATATGTATGGGTGGGTTGTACAGCACAAAAACCTCTATTTTGGTTGTTTTGATAGGTGGAATAGGTTTTGTGCTAGAGTTTTCCAAATTCTTTTGGACTCCATAGGAAAAAGTTTCTGATATTGGTAGACCATGTTATAGGTTTGAGCCTGATATGCTGGCATTTTCTGGATGTGATTTTGGTGGAGGAGAAAAAGAAAGGAAAGAACTTGGGAAAATTCGGAAAAGGTGGAGAAGTTTACATGTAAGGCTTCACCGATGTCTTGAATGATGTCATTCAATAGTGACCTGTTTTATATAATTTGTATCTCTGCATTATAACTACATTTGATATTTGGGGTTATATTGCATGCAGGCAAGCAACCCTGACAAGGTAAGAAGACATGGCAGATGCCCGCTAACTCCAGAGGAAGTTGGCCTTATGCTTAGAGCACTGGGTTTTGGAAGTGATATTCACTTGTATGTGGCATCGGGTGAAGTATACAGAGGGGAAAAGACGATGGCACCACTGAAGAAGCTTTTCCCAAACTTCCATTCAAAAGAGACTGTAGCAAGTAAAGAGGAGTTGACACCATTTTCATCCTTCTCTTCTCGAATGGCTGCACTTGACTTTATTGTTTGCAATGAAAGTGATGTTTTCATCGCCAACAACAATGGCAATATGGCTAGAATGTTAGCTGGTCAAAGGTAGTAAAACTTGAGTTCAAGGATACATTTCTGTCTTCTGGTGGAAGGGTTTGATTTGATCATGTTTTGGTTTATAACTAGTTTGTTTACTGATGCAGGAGATACTTTGGTCATAAACCAACAATCCGTCTAAATGCTAAGAAACTGTCTCCGTTGTTCATGAATCGTAATAACATGACGTGGGAAGAATTTGCCTCCAAGCTTCAAACTAATGAAATTGGATTCATGGGAGAACTAAATGAGATAAAGCCTGGCAGGGGTGAGTTCAAAGAAAACCCAGCAGCCTGCATATGTAGTGCATCTAGCACAAAGTCCATCGAAGTTCCAATTCCTCAAAATGAAAGTTATGACAGCCAGAACATACATAAGGAGGATGACACGAACAAGGACAGTGGTTACGTGACAGACGAGCAAATAACTGAGGATGAGCAGGATTGGTCTGAGATTGATTATACGGAAATGAATATAAATCATTCTCAGGGTAAAGTGCTGCCTAGTGTAAGAGTTTCATATCCAGGTCTTCTACTTAAACCTGACGAACCAGAACTCGAAGAGGTCTCTTCAGACTAGACCATATTAATTAGGAGAAGACTAGACTGGATCTCTACCTCCGCGAGTTAGCTTATTTGTCCAAACGAATTCATCACCAAAATTCTTTGCTGGTTTGTTGATAGGTTACTTGTGCGCGCAAGATTGATTTTGTTACACTTTAAGGTAGTAATAACAAGGACGCACAATGTACATAGAAGGCCTCTGTAGCAGCAGCATCGGCATTGGAATAACAGAATGGAGTCGTAATATAGAGTCATATTCAGATTTTGAAACTTGTAAATGAAGCTACTGGAACATCTTTTCCTGTTTTTTTTGTTTTTCATTTTCTCTGATGATTCTTGCCGTAAGGCAGGAATGTTTATATGTTTATTTTTCAGGTCGAAAGAGTGTTTATATGATCCTTGCTCTTCTTCTGTACCTTTTTATTTTATTTTAATTTTTTAAGTACGTGTTCTATGATAGGCATTGAACCCAACGATGGCCCTGCTTTCTTCATGTCCCTCCAAAATTTTAATCTTTTGTAATTGCTTTATGGTGACGTTGATAGAAAAACGTATTTGATTTAAGAAATGCAAACTGAAGAAATCCAATTTGTGCAAAATTTAATAATGTTGACTTTTAACAATTTAAAACTTGAATTCAATGAAGAAATTTACATGGCTTACATGGGCGTGACAAACTAAACAGCATGCTCAGCCAAAAAGCTTGCCGATGGAGAGGGTGAAGGGTTAAAACAAGAAAGACATCCCTAATCCTAACAAACTCAAAAGCATCCTCAGCCACAAGTCCTGCAAACAGCTCAAATAAAATGAAAATTTGAATTTAGGGATATCGGCTTGATCTACAAAGCCCTCTGCTTTATCATCTCAGCATCTTTCCCATACAACAGACATATCCCACACTTTTCCACCTTCACCTTCTCCCCCCACCGGAAATTTGAATAGTTTGTTGCCATAAGAAGCCATGAAGTCAACTTTGACCGCAGTAAAACGGTTGGAAAACGCAGTGGGGCTTCGAGCTTCCTCTACAACTTCTTCAGAGACATTATTATACCAACGGTACGCAGTGCGGCTTCGACACCAGTTGTGCTAAAATATGAATATGGGTTTGAATATGTTAGGTTCTTATTTTATTCTTCTCCATAAAAAGGTATATATAAGAGTTCACATGAGTCCTTTACAAGGAATTAGATCTAGTAAAGGATTAGGAAAATATCTCCTAATTATACAATGATTTGACAACTATATAAAATAGGAAAGTAAATCCCTTAATTAACCAAAGGAAATAAATCTATAAAATAGGAAAGTAAATCCCCTAATTAATCAAGGAAATAAATCTCCTTGATTAATTAGGAGACTCACTTCAACACTCCTCCTCAAGTTGGTGCATATACGTCACAAATGCCCAACTTGGTAAGTGAGTCAAGAAATTCGTAGCACCCAAGTCGATAATCCATGCAATTCAGGCAGAGTCTTTGGCGACCGGTCGTTTGCTTCGGGCGATCGGTCGTTTGCTTCGGGCGACCGGTCGTTTGCTTCGGGGCTACCGGTCGTTTTCTTCGGGCGACCGGTCGCTTACTTAGGGCGATCGGTCGTTTTGAGTCTGCAATAAAAGAAGTAAAAAGTGATATGAGAATGTGAGGGATTTTGATTGGAGGAATTGATTTGAGG